CTGCTGCTGCTGCTGCGGCTGCCGCCTTCGTCCGGGCGGGGAGTGGATGGTTGTTGGCGACTGGGTTGTAGGAGCATTGAACAATAGACAATAGGTAATCATATCGCCGTTTTAGTCCCTCCATGGCTTTACTATGATTGCCCGCCCCTCTTCAAACTTCGTCCCGAAACCCATTTCTAATGATCATGACCTCCTTACTACTCTTATACTACACACGTAACTTGTAGACTTGTAGTAAGACACCTTTGCTCGGAACGCTTAGTGGAACACCGTTCTAATTGTTCAGGGCTCTGTATAATTATGCTGTTTCGATGGCCTTGTGTTTGCTTTCTTTCGCCTGTCGCAACGATTTCGTTGGAGGTTTCCTGGGCTCCCTAACACAGGGGCCGTAATTCATGCTTAGAATGGGGTTTGGGGTATGTTATGCTGTAGTGCAGCTATAACCATGGAACCCTGAGGAATAGTGCTGGTACGGAATATAGAAATCTACATGAGTAACAATCTTATTACCCCAAAACCCTGTCTAATTATTCCGGCCCCTACATGATGTAGGCCCCAAGAGTATGGCTTTGGAGAGACAGCCGCCAGATGGGGTGAGGGCACGTGTGGGATAAAGTAATCGTCAACCTTGCTAATTCGGAATCGCACAAGATGGCGCAGAACAAAGACTCTGACTCTTGATGAGGGCTCCAGACCGGAGCACCAAAGCAGGCGCTCTTGATTGTTCCTTGTGCGAGGAAGGCTCTGCGTGATGCCGCCCGGCGTGGGGCGGAGAAGACGCCTGGAGCTTATACGCTTGAGATGAGCTCTCTTGTTAAAACGCTGAGAGGATAGAGCAGGTCTTGACCTCATCATACTGCTACTTCATGCAGTCTTCTGGTTTGCATCCCTAAACCTGTGCGCCTTGAAGACCCCTAAACCCGGAACCGTACAGCTCTGAAGTCTAAGCCCTGAGGGCTAGACTTTCATCCGACACGACAGTGTTCGTGCACTCAAATCATGATGAGTGTGGGTGGTTGGGAGCTCAGGGCTTCGTGGGTTTGTTGGGTTTCGTGTTTAGGCTTTGAGGGCTGACGGCCTGTGAGCATCAGCTAAGTCTACGTGGCTGAGAAATCTCGTCTCACCGTTGTTCCGTCGGCTCAGCTGCACCCTCAGATTGTAACTCACAGTAGTTTGGCAAACTCCTTTTGTCAAATCCGTTCCAGGATGCGCTTTCGGATCTTGCTCCTCTTGCCAGTTGCGCTGGCTGTTCGGGATCATGAGGCGGACTTGGATCGGCTCTCGCTGGATGAGTCGCTGGAGGAGCCAAAGTTGGACAGCGTGTCCAAGGCCTTCTCGAGTGTCATGAAGGTCTTCAACCACGAGGCGCCGATCACGATCACTTTCGACGACGAGCCCCACATCAACATCCTCCAGCGCTTCAACACCACGTGGACGGCCGTTCCCATGACTCAGAACAAAGGTGATCTCGTCATCGCAGGGGGGGTCTACAACATCATCAAGTTGCTTCGGTCCCGGAATCTGCGAATTTCTTGCCCCGTCCTGTGGGCGGAACACAGCTGGGAGGCCTACATGTCCGTCACGAAAGCGGCACAGAAGGCTGGCCAAGTTCTAGCCGGCATGGTGACCAAGGGACTCATCGACGTGGCGAACATTGGTCACCTGAAGGAGGTCTTGGCAAAGATGATGGGCATCCCTGGCTTCCAGTACCCAGCGAGCATGCTGGGTGCCGGGGGGAAAATCTTCGAGGCGGGGATCAGCGAGACGGGAGCGTTGAACCGCAGCACCATGCTGCAAGAAGAGGCACTGGGCACCCTGGCATCGGCAACCTTGGCAAACGACACAGCCGGACAGAACAGTACCTAGGTTTATGATGAGGAAGGAACTTAGCACAAGTTGTTACACTTCGGAAAGTGAATAATGTTTCTTTGTGACGGTGGCTCACACCAAACTGAGTTCCTCAACAAGAACACAGGTACCTTCAACCAGGTGGTTGACTCAATCTACGCCGCGAAGCTGCAGCTGCTGAGGTTGCAGGACTCGCCCTGACAAACCCTAAACCCAAACCCTAACTTCAACGCTAATACCCTGACATGGCAATTTATACATCTTTCATCTTTCCTTACATTTATACTTTAGGCCTCACACTTACACCCTAAGTGCAGTTTAGGCCCAAGTTTAGGTTTAAAGGACGCGAAGCGTGTGGTGCGCCTCATGCTTGGTCCGAAATATACAGAGACGGGTGCCTATGACCTCCGCATGAAGTGCCCGGGTTCTTCTTCAGGACCTTATTATTTCAAGTTATGTCGAAGAATATGAAGTTAAAATGCCAGAAAGAATTCTGGTCAGGTAGAGAGAGAGAGAGAGAGAGAGAGAGAGAGAGAGAGAGGGGAAGAGAAAAGAAAGACAAAGCGAGAGAGAGAGAGAGAGTAAGCATGAGTAGGAGCTTTGAAGAAGAATCCGGGTACGGTTCTCTCCTGGTAGCCGAGGTGCATGCATCCCGATCCGACGAAGAGTCCCTATGTCTACATCCCAAATCCGAATGGGCCGATCCCGTTGCAGACGCACCTCTTGGCCGGCTTCATCCTCGCGCTCTCATGAGAGGCTTGGAGCATCATAGTTTTAGAATCTAAAACTATTATAAAAGCATCTAGGTATTATATTTTTGTACTGTTCTGAAATACTCTAGTACTGATAGTGCTTATATGGTATTATTTGTGGTAATATAGCGTAGTGGTATACCGGACTGAAGGTCGTGAAAGAACTCCCAAAGAGCCCACAAAGGAAGCTTCTTGAAGCGGCACACCTCAAGCCATCTGAGGCATCTGTGCATTCTTGGAGCAGTATCCCTGAATGATGGCGCGTGGGGTTAGACTGTCTGATCTGGGTTGAAGCACAGCAGAGTTGCTATGATTAGCATCAGCATGCATCAGCTTGCCCCAGTCGAGCCTCTCTAGCCTGTGCAAGCCGCTGGGCACTTTCGCCTGCTTGTATAGGTGATCGCCAAAGTAGAGAGAGCCACAATGAGAGCAGTTTTTTGCTCCTCGGAAGGAGTTCGAAGTAAAAGCTGCTGTGCGATGCAGTCTGCTCCACACGAAAGCCGGACCCAGGATGTAATTTGACAAGGGTTCGTGCTAAAGGTTGAAGCTACTCGGTGGACCACCGCGACGAGTCCAACATCCGAGGCCTGCCAGCACCACCTGGAACCTACTTATCACAAATGTACTCGGTGTCCCCAAGAGGATCCCCCAAATAAGCTTCACCGAACCCTTCTAGAAACCCCCAACAAAACCCAATCCCTGTCTTAAAGCGGCTCTGGGACATGATACGCTGAAAGTGCCCCACACACCCCGGATCCTCGTTAACCAGAGTGCTCCATATACCGGAATTCAAGTATGGGCTATTGTGTTACCTAGGACACGATTGGTAACCTTTTGGTCATGGATCCTACAGAGCTTATTGCTAGATCTTGTATCAGTGGTTTTGTGTTAGGAAGATTGGTCCAATGCGGGGTGGAGGGGGGCTTGTAGGCGGATGTGGTTCGGACCGGCTTCCTGCAACGAGACTCGCAGTGAGAATAAGTTGCAGCCTAGCCGCCTGAACCCTAAACCCCTAAACCCCTAAACCCTAAACCCTGAACGCCTAAACCCCTAAACCCCTAAACCCTAAACCCAGCCTAGCCGCCTAGCCGGCATCTTTCTGCTTCCCAATCGCTTGACATGA